TGGGGGCTGCGCAGCAGGAGGTGGCAGGGAGGGGTGGCGGGAGGCTGGCTGCAGACGCAGCCAAGTTTGCTCCAAACCCTGCTGCAAGCGCGGAAAACTGATCAGAGACTAACGGGTTGTGGGTTTTTTTTTTGGGTGGTCTTTTTGTTTTTAAAACACAAAAACATGCTGCTCTCCCAACACCACATGCTACAAACCTCTCATGTTCCTCTCTTCTCTTCCCTGAATTCACAGGCAAATTTCATTTATTTGGTTCAGGCTAATGACCAGAAAGTTCTGGAGATACCCTTCTTCAACCTATAAACCCACAGAGGTCCACGGACAACTATCTGTGAAAGATCATTCAGAAGTACAGACCCAGAGGGCTTTAAAACTTTGCTGTCTAAAAGGCTGCTTTCCTGCAATTATCAGGGGTCTCCAAACGGACCAGAGTTGCCCTAGAGCAGCAACTGTAATCAATTTAGCACCACACACTGAAAGCAAAAGGCATTTGAAACCAGCCTTTTTCTTCTTCTCTGGAATGCTTTAATGCATTACAAAGCTTCAATTTGTGAATGCTTGAAGTCTTTTTAATTAGGCAGAGCCTTTCACCTTTGGAGAAGCATGTTCATATCTTAGTACTTCAGAGAAGTTGACATAAAGATACATCTTAGAACAGTTGTTATTGAAAGCATTCATTGATCCTCTTCCAAGAAGAAATAATGTTGGTAGTACTGCAAAACTGACTATTAATTGCCCAATTTTGTTTGCCTTGTAAGCCTACCACACTGTTATTAGTTCTATCTCATACAGGGTACTGAAAATCAATTTTAAAGTAAACCTGGCAGAGTACTGTAGGAAAGTTTACACGGCATTTGACATATTTGCTCTTCTTAAACCACTATTGTATTTTTTCCTTTAATAATTCAAGTGAGAGGATGACATGCTTACCTGTGCACACTACACAGGTAGACACAAATCCAACACTCAGCACAGAGAAATGCACAGCTCAACACGAGGGAAAGGAAAACCGGGCTAATTGATGCTTTGCTAAGGCATCCCTCACAATGCATTTTTTAAAAAAAACTGTCACTTTATAGTCCTGATGGACCCTGAATTTCTTGCTCCTGGAAAGACAAAGATGACAAACCTTACTATCGATTTCACTGCTCCCCAGAGCAGACTGGATCACGTACAGCAGTGCGTCCGTCAGGCCATCGCACTCCCTCATCCTTCTGCGGGCCTCCTCTCCAGCAGAGCTGACATTCCTGCAAGGCAACAGCAAGGGTCACCACCTCCCCTCCCGAAACCTTCTCACAATTAACACTCAGATAAAACACTTGCTTTCTTTTCTCCTTTCATCAGTTCAGAGCTGTGAATAATGAGGACAGCTGTGAATGAGCTCAGGAAATGTAACGGAGAGGGGAACAAATGGAAGTCACCAGGCTCTCCACGAGAAGGGGCTGAGAGGCGAAGCAGCATGCGCCCGCCGGAGCGGGAGACTCACCCCTGCTAACATTTGGTGAAGAGCCCATCGTTTTTCTTTTTTTTAAAAAAAAAGTAGGCTTTACATTTGTGAGAAAGCGTTTTTGAAATGTGCATACGTACACATAAATCAGGCTTTGAAAAGTCTGGAGGTTTTGCCAAAGAAATCTCCTCGGATTTGAAGAGCCCAGTAGTTAGGGCTCTTAACCTGAGAGAAAAATATTATCAAAGCATAACATAAAACACTTGGTATTGCTTGCTTCTCATTTTACATGAGTGTTTCCTCTTCTCTCTCATTTTGAGAGAACATTAATGCCTTAATCTTCTCTTTATGTAGTTTTAAGTTGTTTCACTTGGCAAAATTTGAAACCTCAGTTTATTATAATAATTGTGTTCCTCAGCCAGGGCTAGAGGGCCTCCTGAAGACATTTATAAAAACACTATTAAAATAGAATTTACTGGGTAACATAATGTGCCATAAATTTCAAAATATTGATATATAAAGAAACAAGCATGTACGAAGAGCATACATAAATAGAATCTATTCTTGCTACCATCAAGGCTCCCTGAGAAAAACTGCTTTCAAATTTGCACAGCAGTTGTGATCTGGAAATGGGTGAAGAGGCAATCCCACGAACAGGGAAAAACTTCTCACAGTCTCCTTCAGTAGAGGAAGACAACCCTCTGCTGAAGTGGCTCATCTGTAGCTCCTCTCTCCCCACTCTCAAAGTTTATACAAAAGAAGAACAGAAAAGAGCACACCAGCCTTAAGTACTTAATGCCAACGTACGGAAATGGAAGGGAGGCTACTTGCCCTCTGATTTGGGAAGAAGGCAAGGCACTTTCTTCCTCTTATGCCATTTCCAGCTGCCTTTGCATTAAAGATGGAAAATAGATGAGGATCCTGGGAGCGGAGAATGAATTTTAGATGGAGGAAGGTGAGAGGACTTAAGGATAGGTTTCCTTTCAATTCTTTCTTTGCTCTTTTTCTGTCTTCCTGTCATCTAAAAAAGCCCATTTCCGTTTCCCTAAAGAACCAAAGTGTTTTCCTAATCAAATAATCTTATAATTGGACAATCCCCCAGCCCCTCCAATGCAGGTTACTAATTGATTCTGCTCCCTAAACACATATGATTTTCTATCTACACTTGCATCCCCACACAGTCCTAATTAGTTCTGCTCTCCCACACATGAGCTGCCCCAGTTAATTCAAAACTGTTCCCTTCACCTCTGCAGACAGCCCCACAAAAAAACATACAGCCTAGGAGCACTAGAATGAATTCTTTTATCTCCTTAGCACACAAATGTATGATTTCCATTCTCCTTGAGACTCCCCAGTTCACTCCACTTTACACATCACAAGTGTGCCCCTTCATAATGGCTTGCAGGTTTTGTGTTCCCTTGATCTTCTGGTCCCCGAACTCTATACCTCTTCCACTCTCTGCTGCTCTAAGACCAGCAGATGAGGGGTTTTCTTCAAGTTCATGGGGAAACTGTCTTCTGTCATCCAGGAATTGAGTCTGGAGAGCATCAACTGGAAGAAGTCCTCCACTGGCTCTCCCTTTTAAGTGACGGAAACCTTTTGACTTCCCTTTGGGTGACAGACATCAGAAGGTAAAATACAGAATGGTTTTCCCAAAATAGAGCCTGTGCCCTATATTTGAAGAGCTGGTCACTCTGCCTAAAGTGTATTTTGAGCAGACTATTCCCTTATTAAAGGCGACAGCTCCACCTGAAATTCCTGAAGGGTAGCACACGTAAGAAAAGCATAATCATGGATCTGAAAAGTGCATTGGGGGTAGGGGTTGGGCAGGGAGGTCAAGGGGGATTAGTGGACTTCTTTTATCTGAAATTCTACTCTCCCACCCTCCGGAAAGAGAAAGAGAGCTGCATCCAGCCCTAGGAGAATAACTGCACAAATTACAACTGGAGGATGCTGAGGAAGTGTTCGCAGCACACCACCTTTCCTTGCACCCCTCTTGGAAAACAAGCTGAAATATTACTGAATCCTTTTAAACTGAACTAGATGTAACAACAGCCTGCACTAATATTACGTGTCCAGCTTCTTCGTTTTCTGCAGTTACATATACTGAGTGCAAGCTTTCAAAATACATACACTTGGACACCAGTAAAAACAGAGAGATACATTCTCCCTGATTTTTTCATTGAGGTGATTTCTCGTTCTCTCTAGCATGGCCGAATGCACGTCACCTTGACTCTCCAGAGCCTGCAGAGACTGGCAGCCTCTCAGCTCCTCTCCAAGCTCACCAGAAACTCCTCCTCACCAGGACAGCAATGCAGACAACCTCACAGCCCCTGAGCTGTGAGCTGTCTGCCTCACTCATTTCCAGCCAAACAAAGAATATGAGGCCTTTACACAAAGTAATACAGACACACTAGGGGCACATCTTGCACAGACAATGCATTTCTTTGCCCTGTGTGGAAGAGCTGTCGAGTTCAGTTCTTCTGTTTATCATCCTTCCCCATTATGCTTCAGTACCTTCTGTAATCCAGAGGTGGATATACTGAATTCCCATGACTGCTTTTCCTTTTCTTTTAAAAGTTTCTGTCTAGTTTCTGCACTGACTCATAGCTGCTACAGTCCTCCCCAGATTTGGCATATTTATTTACATGGGAACTAGCTTAAAAACCAAGACAAATCCAAACCTTGCACTAACATTTTGGCAGAAATAATCATTTGACTATTTAAAAAGAAAGACATCCCATTATCTAACTATTCCCATTTAATCTCTATTGAAGGACTCATTGTTAACCGAGATCTTTCTCAGAAGGTCTCTAATATCACCATGTTCAGGCTATGTAGTTCTGCAAAAGAGAAACAAATTCCAGATTACTTGAGCTGTCAAAGAAAACACGCTGCCATCTTAATTTTCTCATTTCTCATTGTTAACTCAAACACACTGTAGCAGTCAGTGTGACAGGGAGCAAGACATGATTTGTCATTTGTGAATTTACAGGTCACTGTGCAAACCTTAAACTGGAGCATTATTAGCATCTACTGTTGGTAAAATGTCCAATTAAGTAAGCACATGTTTCTCCAGTGTCAGTCTCTAAATAGGTGAACCATGTTTTCTGGATTTTTAAAAAGATGTGGAAATACAATGTACAGGTTTTCAGGGAAAAAAATACTTTACCATCATAAAACCTTGATTGCCTGGTAAATTTTGATACTTTGTGGAAACTCTATTCACAGGGTCTAGGTGAAGGCTGATATTTTGAACCCAACAGGACAAGGAGTACTTTAGACCTCCATAAACCAGTAAAATTAATTTCAAATGGAATCCAGTCACACAAGAATATCAAGAATACAGGGTGCTGAAGAATAACTCAGTCTGTCAGAAGGTCCCACTCAGACCTCCAAAAACCAGCTACTGTGAACAGCTTCTTCTCAGGAGAGGAACACCAAGAACAGATAGTCAGAACACGAGCTTAGACCCATGGCTCATCAAACTGCTGTTTTCTAAACAAACAGCAGACTGATTTTGCTAATAATCTAGGAATGGAAAGAAAATTATAACAATCCAGCTTCAGTTTTATGGGAGGATGTGTCACAGCTACTATGTTATCCTGATAACTAAGAGCAGGCATGATCCTCCTAACATACCTAAGGGGTGTCAATCCAATGCTCTAAGGATATGAAGTGTGTGGTATTAAGGGATGCACTGTGCAACACACACCTGACAGTGCATAGTTATTCAATATAATTGGTGGGATTTGAGTTAGGGGAAGATGGGTGGTGCCAAGTAATTTCTTTCTCCTTTAGGGTCATTTTCCATATGCTTATACAAACTGTGGGATGTTTCGAGCAATATCCTTATGACTCTAGGATAACTAAGTTCACCTGCCTTATCCAGGACAGGGACATTGAATTCTATGGAAAGATCATCCAGAAAGCCAGTGTGCTGAGAGACATGCCCTCTGGATATGGGAATATTTAGCAACCTGTTGACATTACTCCCAGTGGCAGTTCTACAAATCTCAAAGACAGAATTAAAGCATCTACAGGAGCAACTGCCCTCCTTGAGTATGCTCAGGTCACACCAGGTATGCCTCACCTTTCCTGTACCAGGTACAGGTCTGCAGATCTCACTGCAGTCATGTAGGATAATCATTGAGAACAAATCTGTATTTAGCAAAGATGAAATTGAGAAGGGTCCTCTTCAAGGCCCCTGATATAAAGAGGATGCGTATTTAATATCTAGCATATGTAACATTCTTGCTATGGACTGATGTGATAGAAGAAAGGACAGACACAGGAAGATCAGTATCCTAAATCAGGTGGAATGCAGACCTTCTCTTTGGTATGAAACTTCAGATGCGTTCAAAGTATATCTTTATTCCAAAAAGTTCTGTGTAAGAGGGACTAATCGTAACAGGCTCAATCTTTTTCATCCTTCTATTGGTTATAATAGCCACCAAAAAGAGATTTTTCACAGAAGGAGGGAAAAGTTTATACAAATCAAGAATTCAAAAAACTCCATTAACGTCGTAGGAACCACGTTTATGTTTCCCTGAGGATACCTAGCCCTCAGGAGAATACTGAATAACTGAGTTGCAACTGATGCATTAAATACTCATCTTTAAAGCATATACATTTAAAAAAAAAAATAATCCCTCATACTGGCCTCCTCCACATGTGCTCTCTTATATGATGCCTATTTTTATTCCTGTCTGATGGACTAAGCATTCTCCTTCAGGGACAGAGCCTTGTCTCAGCGGCAAGCTGGCATTCCCAGTCCCATCACGGGCTGAAGTAAATGGT